ATTCATAGCTGGACTATAGCAGGTGTCTAAGTGCCAAATGAGTGGACATACAAGAAAGTACACATTCTTTTTTTTTAAAATATATATTTTATTGATTTTTCAGAAAGAGAGGGATAGAAAGTTAGAAACATCGATGAGAGAGAAACATAGATCAGCTGCTTCCTGCACACCCCCATCTGGGGATATGACCGCAACCAAGGTACGTGCCCTTGACGGGAATCGAACCTGGGACCCTTGAGTCCGCAGGCTGACACTCTACCACTGAGCCAAACCGGTTTCGGTGAAAGAACACATTCTTATTTATAGTGGATGGTCAGGGACGTTGGCTATACAGTATGAAGATATTAAGACAGCGGGGGAAAGTTGAAGGATTTTTGGATATTTGATATTAATATTTTATTCTTCTAGAAGCGATGAGTGTTGTGGTTGCTAAAAATAAGTCCTGATGGTTTACAGGTACATACTGAGGAATTCATAATTGAAATGATATATCTGTGACTTCCCTAAAAAATAATTAGGTGCTAAGAAGCAATGGCCTAAGAAGCCCCTGCTTGGCCACTGACGGTTGGGCCTCAGCTCCATGGAGACTGGCTGGCTTCGACAGGCTGGGAATCTACCACACCAGGAGAGGGCCTTGTTCGCAGTAGGCAAAAGTGCAAACAAGTCATGAGCAAAGTCATAAGGGGGTGAACATATATAAATGAAACCAGATTGGCTATGTGTGGATAATTGAGTGATAGGTATGTGGCAGGTCATTATGCGGATCTCTCATATTTGAAAAATCTTCATAATCACATCTTTATCATATTAAGGACATTTTCATTAAGTCCTGATTTAATCTGTGCCTGCACTACACTTCCTAACCAAGAGAAACGATCTAGGTGCGCACACAATGACACCAAAAACAGCCTAGAGCAGCGGTTTGCCACTCTGTTGATTAATGAGTTTTCCTAGAGGTAAGATCCTGACCGTTTACACAGACACAGCAGTAAGCACAGGAACATCTTGACAGCACACACCAAATTGTTACCTGCAAGGTGGACAGGAAAAAATTCACTTCTTACTTAATATCTGTTTTTAAATGTATTACTAGGGGCGATTTTCACCTTCCGTGTTAACAGAATCTTGTCTTTTAGTGCTTTTCCTAACACACCCATGACGGCTTTCATCTTGAGTCAGGGACATCACTGACCTGTATCTGAAACTTCGTATTGATCCTCACACCCCTGGGGGTGTGGGGTCTTGAGACACCTTTTTTTGATCAAGTGGTTTCCCCGCCATCTCACAGTACTGTGGTGAGTATAAAGGCACTCATGTATGAGGAGGTGCTTTACTGAGCCAGGCAGAGGCTGTGATCCCCACCCCTAACCCTTTTTATACATCCTTTTGGAGAATTTTGATCTGGCCAACAGCTAGCTTAAGCTCTGATGAGCCCTAAGTCATGAAACTACAAGAGCACAGTAGTTGTGTTACACTGAAATGTGTCACTCATTTATGGATAATAAAGAACATTATAAACTGATGAACCAAAAGATATAGAGACAGTAAAGCAACAGACTGTCAAATTACAGTGGAGAGGGAAGATATGGGGGTGATAATAGATGAACCGAAGAACTTGTATACATGCATAGAAGTACAACCAATGGACACAAAACTCTGGGGAGGGAGGGTATGTAAAAGGGAGGGAGAGGGCAAAAAAAAAATCAATAAAATATATTAAAAAATAAATAAAAATACCTTGATGGAGAAAAAAAAATGAAATGTGTCAAGGACAGATCAATTCCTGTCTCAACTCCAGCAAACAGCACATCTAACGCAGACGCTCCTCGATCTGGTACCTGAGTCCCCTAGAGGCAGTGGCCACTCGGGCCTGCTTGGGAAAGCCCTACTTTATCCTGGTTCGCTCGGGGGCCAACTGCCAGGCCTCCCATGGCAGGCTCCAGATGCACTCTAAGCGAGACAGTCGCCTCAGCAGCAAGCCTGGCCTCGTGGGAAGGTGGTGGCCAGGAGCATGGCGGCCAGCTCTCCACATGGGATTTCACCACCACCCCACATCTAACACACGGAAAAACACGCAGGCGCACAGTCCAGCTCTGGTTAGTGTGGGGATCTGGGCCATGAATGAAACGACTGAAACCTAAAAGTGTCTCCAACTGACACCAGCTACCCGTGCTAGCAGGTAAGCAGCTAGTCAGAAAGCCAATTCCCTAGTAAAAAGACTACACTGCTTCAAGGGGCTTTTTGAAAGGCCATTTTGAATACTTTCTGAGTGGACCACTAACAGCAACATCACTGTGTTTGCCGGTATATTTTTAATAGGTTCTTAACCAAGACCTAAGCTTATTTGGAATCCCATAATAATCAAATAATGTAATTAACAGCAACAGCACTCACACTACACGGGTGAAGTCCCGCGCCTGTCCAATTCTGGAAGTAAAATAAGCAAGCCCAGCACAGGGTTCTCTGAAAATGTAATCCTTGAAATGGAATGCTGGTTTCTGATTCTACAAAGACAATGTTCACTGAAGCAACTAGCTATCTTCATGAGAAATGTGTAAGGCATGCTTGTAACAGGGTCACAAATGAACTGCCTCTTCCACAAAAGTAAATTTTTTTTAAATATATTTTTTATTGATTTCAGAGAGGAAGGGAGAGGAGACAGAAACATCAATGATGAGAATCACTGACTAACCGGGAATTGAACTGTGACCTCCTAGTTCACAGGTCAACATGTAAACCACTGAGCAACACTGGCTGGGCCGTTATTTGCCTTAACTAGGAAGATAAATCATTTGTCCCAAATTACTTTATTTTTAATCTTCACCCAAGAATATTTTCCCATTGACTTTTAAAGAGATAGAGGGAGAGGGAGAGAGGAACATCGATGTGAGATGCATCGTTTGGTTGCCTCCCGCACCCACCTTGAACCAGGGCCAAGGACCAAGCCCACCACCAAGGAATGTGCCTGGGACCCTGCTCTACCCATGGAGCCAAGTCAGCTAGGGCCTAAACTACTTCTTTGTAAAAACCCACCTTGTAATATAGATTACTTTTTTAAAAAATTATACCACAGAAAATGTACTACACCAAAGTTATTTTAGTCAACAGTTTATCTTTAACCCCTATTATTGCTTCTTGCCTAACAATGTTCAGAATCTTCCAGCTGAAACCAAAGTGTGTTCTTAGGATCCTTTATAGAAGTAATCTTCTTCAGAGAAAACACTCTTTCCAACAATACTAAAAATCCATTGGTCTAGATTGCACAACACTTTAGTTTAAGAAAATGTAAGCTATATGTCTTTAATTTCAGAAGAATTGATGCTATTATACAATAAACTTTTTATTCTTTCATTCATAAAAACAGTCCACAGCATTCATAAAACAGGATGGTCAAAGAAATCGAGCGAGACACTTTTCAGGTGGATTCTTTATGTTTAAGAACAGATGAGTTGGAACCAATTTAATACAGATGGAAACAAATACAATCCATAGAAAAACAGGAGTTGAAAGGAGGAGGAGATAATATCAACCAAGATAAACGTAAGAGTTTTCAGGCATGCAATTCAATATATGAATTTTCACTTAAAAACCAAAGTAGGTGCTTTAATAGGTATCCTTAAAGGCTACAAAAATATTGCAAAAATGTTAACCTTACATATATCACAAAAAAAAATATATATAATAAATTCTGAGCTACACCCAGGCTAATCACAACAAGTTCTCCCTACCCAAGACAGACACAGAAAAATAACTTTTTACAAGCTTAGCTTACAGGTACAATACCTTAGAGCTCTCACTTGGGTGTTTCCTGCTCATGCTCTTTTCAATATAAACAAATGTGATTTATGTAATGGAATACATACTTGAAGAATTCCTTAAAAAAAGAATCACAAGTTTCATTTTATATATACAACAAATTTTTAATTATGTACTGAAAATAAATTACAGGAAATAACTTTAAAATGCAACAGAGAACAAAGTCACAATAAACATTCCCATTGGATTCCCTTGGGGGGTGAGATTGCAGTGCTCAAGGAAGATAAATATCACAAATATATCAAAAACTTCAAATAGTTTATGCATTCACACACTGACGTGAGCCACAAACATTCCTTCACAGGGACTGTACTTATTAGCCTACCACAGAACCAGATTTTGCCATAAACTACAAAACTTTTAATACAAAATTGTTATTTATATATTTATAATTCATATACATGCCCTATCTGTGAGTTTAGAAAATAAAAGCTACACACTGTACAGACACTCTTAACTCATAGCTGTAGGCAACATTTTTGGATGGAATTTCTCCAATGAAATTAATGGCATATTTTATGTACATGAAGGCTAAACTGCATGAAGACAGTTCAGATTCCCAGATATGCATCTCCTTTTAGGTCAGATTCATAAATTTCAAAAGGCAAGACAAATGTACACCTCAGAATCACTTTCTTAGCTACAAGAGTTGTCGTGTAATGTCTGTGGTTTCTGTTACATGCATTTATGTAATACTGGCGTTAAAGGCAGTAAAGCAATATATACTTTTAATGTAGTGGCTCAATGAAGGCTTCATTGTCATTCCAATCTGATTCTTTATACAGTGATTCATAGCTTCTCTAAAAATTAAGATTCAATGAGAGGGACGCTGGGTTAGAAAGAGTCTAAATAGATTTTCTTAAAATATTTCCCTGAAATATCCTTTTACATAAAACAAATTTCACTAACATTAGCTTAAGTAAAAAGGAAAAGAAAGATTTAAAAACATGGCACAAATGTGCGTGATAAACTGACGCTACTCAGCCAATTTCCACGCCTTAGGAGCCATGAACAGAATGCTTAAAACCAGCCAACCATTTCACACTCTGTGGCAGCCGTCTGTGAAGCCAGTTGTACTAAACTACTTCTACAGTTGATTGTAAACTTTGGTTTATTTGTGTTTGAGTTCTCATTGTACAGCAAGCGTGAACGAGAGGGAGAGGAGTCCATGAGGAGATGAACTGTCAGTCAGTCTTTAACCGGGCATGATGCGACACCTGGTCAGTCAGGCCTGCTTTGATAGAGTTTGTTACAGACTGCCTTATGTTTTCCTCCATCAAATTATCACCCAGGGGCTTCAATACCTGTGGTATGAGAAATGTGCAAAACAAATAAAAACATGAGGTAAAAAAAGAGTTACACATAAAAATAGATATAAAAATTCAATTCAAAGCAATGAAGAAAATAACCAGGAATGTGGAAAATAAAAAGATATTTCTCCAAAAAAAAAAAAAGTTATGATGCTATAAATAATGCAGTTAGACATTTTTTAATGCAACAAAAACCACTTTCCTCTTATTCAAACCATTTACAATTCCTATGAGATGGATGTGCAATTCCATACCCTATTTGCAGCATCAAATCTGGTATGTACACAGCATTTATGCAGACCGGCCCAGACGGTCCTGCTTATTGTCCTACATGTATAAGTGTGAACACTTCAGATAGAGAAAAAAGTTTAAAATACTGTCTAATTTTTCTTCTTGTTATTGTTGGATGGCAGTCTCTGTCGCTGTGCTGATGAAAGAGCACGATGAACCATTCGGCGTCTAGTAACTTCAAACAGTTTGGAAAACACCTAAAACATGGAGTGATTTGTTAGGAGAATCACTGAGAGTGCCTGCAAGTTAGAGTTTAAGACTACAGGAATTTGAGACTTTGTAGGTTTCTCACCTTCCTGGGACTCCTCTGAAGCAACAGAAAAGAGAAATGCAGAAAAAATTTAGATAAGTTTTGTTGACATAGCACAGACCTTCTCTGACTAGTGATCCCCTTACCTCAACGACACTGAAAGTAATGTCACCCACTTGAGATTCTTCCGTTTAATTCAGTGGTTCTCAACCTTTCTAATGCCTCGACCCTTTAACAGTTCCTCATGTTGTGGTGACCCCCAACCGTAAAATTATTTTCGTTGCTACTTCATAACTGTAATTTTGCTACTGTTATAAATTGTAATGTAAATATCTGTGTTTTCCGATGGTCTTAGGCTCTACACAGATATTTATATTACGATTCATATCAGTAGCAAAATTAGAGTTATGAAGTAGCAACGAAAATAATTTTACGGTTGGGGGTCACCACAACATGAGGAACTGTATTAAAGGGTCGCGGCATTAGAAAGGTTGAGAACCACTGATTTAATTGTTTTGTAATAATGGCAACTCTAAAATCTTAAGAATCAATGATGTATAGGAGATGACTGGTTTTTAAAAGAAGACATTGTACAATTATTGTAATTTTTGTTGCAGAACATTAATAGTAGTCCAAAATTTTAAAGTGGATAACACTTTTTTAAAAAGTGAAGTTGTAATAGCTTTTAATCCATCTTCTACTAGAAGGTATCAAAGGAATGTGAAGAACCAGACTTTTAAGACAAAAATTTAAATTTAACAAATATCCAAACATAAGCTTCCAAATCGGACCTGAATAAAAATGAGCATTTCTCTAAAGATTAGATTTAAAATCCAAATTAATTTAGTGGGTCACTTTATAAAATAACATTACAAGAAAAGTCACCACCCAATCAACTTTCTTTAAAAAAAAAAAAAAATGGTTTACTTCTTCAGTCTTTGCATTTAAAGCCAAAACCAACATGGACCTGCATATTCTACATCTTCAATTAAGCCCAATACTTCATCGGCTCAAAAATGGTATCTGAAAATGCCTATTTTACTGTCCATCAGTAATAACTGTAGCTTTCATTCTGGTCCTCAACACGATGCTCAAGTATTTCATGATGACCACTTCACTGACAACATCCTTAAATAGAATTTTCTGCACATGGGAAACTCTAGCACACAGTCGGCCAATATACAACATGGTTTCCTTAGTAAATACATGTCAGGCCCGACTTTGATTTCTGGGTGAAGTAAGGATTATGATTAATGGCTGGTTCTCTGAAGCACTTTGCTTTGTTCATCAGTATTTCCTTGGTACAGAGGTCAAAGGTTTTTTTGGTGTAAGAAACCACTATTGGATTGTTCCTTGTAGTATATCAGCAAATCATCACTATCTTCATGAACGGCAACAAAGACCTGGATGCCACCTAATATTCTCCCTGGAATATAAGCATGCGCTGCTTCTTGCCAATATTAGTAAGCAGCTTCTTTGGCTTTCCTGAAGGTACTGAACTTCCAAACTTCTCCTCCTTACCTTCATAACTTGCACCGATGATATTTCCTCTTCTCAAAGAAATCCTTAAAGACTTGCCCTGCCCATTGTTTGGCAGAGTCAGGCCTATGATTAAGAATCTGTCTAAAGGACATTACAGATTTAGGCCAACCAAGGCACTCTGAAATTAACGACTTTAAAGAAAAAAAAACACTCTCCCGTTCACACTTTATATTCAGATTATACATCCAAACAAAACAGAAAAATCCTTTTGACATTTCGCATATAAAAGAAAAGGTGTGCAAATATTGTGTGGGGAGAAGGGGTGGGAGTCACTGAAAACCAAAACACAGATACCAACCTGTTCCCACAGTGTTTCAGCAAGCTGGTCAATCACTGTTCCAATTTCTCTGAACTCCCCAGAGTATTTAACATATGCCCAAGTACAAAGAGATGTCAGGGCCAAACCCATGCCCAGGTTACACAAGACGGCTATAGAGTTTAGACCGATGAAGCCAGTCAGTCCTGAGATTATATACATAGCAAACATGACTGCAAACAGTGTGGCAGGGGTACGAGCAGCATAGAAGATATTTTTGCCATCGTTGTGCTTTATGAAATTTGCATAGGTTTCTTCAATTTCAGCTTCAAGCTGGTCCTGATAGCGACGGCAGAATTCATCTCCACCCATTTTTTTAATTGAACAAAACTGTTTAATTGCCACTTCTTTGAGATCCAAGTGTTTTCGTTCCAGATCTGAAGGTGCAATGTAAGGCTTGTCTCCACCACATACCTGTACAGACACGATTACAGTACGAAGGTTACATGCTAGAAATGATTCACATTTGCAAGTTCCCTACTCTTAGCGTTCAGTCTCAAAAAGTCAAACCACCTGCATGGTTCAATTTTAAACTTCATAATAGCTCACACATAACCATAACCTATTTATTTACAGCCTATATTTTTAACTGATTCAGGCTAAATAAATTTTCCAAATATAACTAATACAAGTAAAGACAAAAATAATTACACCAAAATTTGAACCTGACTTCACTTGACCCACTAATACACCATAAGAATACGAAAGATTACTGGCAAAGGAGTGAGTAACAGATAATAAATTAAAAAAGTACTTTAATGTGCAAGCTTAGCATAGAAATTGCTAGTGGCCTTAAGCTAGTGTTAATTACATCCGAAGCTATTAATTAACAGCACTATGAATCATGTGTCGGGAAATATTCCAATACGGTTTATGTAATAACTTACTACCCATCTCCTGCACTCTATGTGAATTATTTTGTTAATTTCCAGCAGAATTAGATAACAGAGAATTGAGAAATGATGTAACATAACACTGCATAAGAAGTAGAATTTACTTCAATTATTTTACATAATAAAAATCTCACTCTAGCATCAAATTTAAAATTTAGTTACAAACCTGTTCCATATTTCTGCAATAAATCTCTCTTGCTCCTGCTACTGCAGCAAGATTATTAGCTTCAGCTGTTGCCTAAAACAATAAAATATGTGCCAATTTTATGCAAAAGAAAAAGATGACTCTATAAATTCTGATCAATTCACTAAGTTATATACAATAAAGAAGTCTGAAAATGAACCAAAGAAAATATTACCAACTTCCAGTTTTCCTTTTCAATGGAACACCAGTTTAAAGGATATAATAAAACTCTACCTAGCTTATAATAGAAACTATCTGCCTAATTTTATTTTTCTTACGTTTATTAAAATGGGTTTATAAAAAAAATACTACATATGCTCAGGAAATATAGGCAATAAAAAAACACAAACCTAAAATGCATCAAGTCTTCAGATGTAAAGAACCAAGTATTACCCAATATGATTCTCTCTCTAATAATCAATATTACACAAGGGATATTTTTAAATGCACAAAATTGCTCATTGGGTGAGTTTTATAAAAAAAAAAAAACTACTACTTAGTCCACTATAAAATGGAGAAATTTCCTGAGGTAGCATTAGAAGTAGCTCTAAATCATTAACACAAAAAGAAAATAAGCCTATTTCAAACAACATTCACTGTCAAAGATGCAGAGGCAAGAAGCATGGTCCAGAGGCCCATTTTAAGCTAGCTTCTGCAACAGAAAGTTTCCTATACTTTCTGAGCAACTAAAGGGAAGGTACTGAGGATTCTTATTTCTGGTGGCCTGTGTTCAAGGTCTGCAATCTGTAGTTACAAAAACTTCAGGACCCATGACAAGTACTGCTTTAAATATCTGATATGCATATGCATGCAAAGAAATACCACCCCATTTCCAGCATTTATCTCTAAAGTAAGACTTTTTTCTCTTTCACAAATAAATACATGTATAACACACACCTACCTGAAGCATGGACTTTGGATGTGGAAGTTCCTCTCCTTGATAAATTTTTATGTAAGCCTAAAAATATAGAAGACTTGTTATATTGATAGGTTATGCAATTTAGCTCTACAATCCAAAAGAAAGACAAATCATTAAATATAAAAACAACCCACACTATTAAAAGGAAAAACCTAGACTTTAAAAATCATCCAGTCTCATTCCAACAAAATTAACCCTATGCTCAACATCATTAAATATATTTTTTAATCGATTTCAGAGAGGAAGGGAGAGTATTAGAAACATCAATGATGGGAGACAATTACTGATCGGCTGCCTCCTGCACAACCCCTCCTGGGGATGTGCCCTTGGCCAGAATCGAACCTAGGACCCTGCAGTCCACAGACCAATGCTCCACCGTCTAGGGCTCAATATTATTAAATGTCTATGTTGCTAAATAACATCCTAGAGAAATGTTTCTAAATGTAATTCCAACGTGCATAAAAGTTATTTCTCATATTTCAAAGTTATATATAAAATGCCATCCACTTTATGAAAAGAAACCCATAATTCTTCCCTAGTACTAATGCTTCAACTAAATATGTTAGAAACATTATAATTCAGTACTTTATTTTGACCAGTTTAAATTATCTCTCAGTTTAAGAAAAAAATTATGTAACTGTGGTATAAGAGTAAAAAGACAAGATGAGAATTTTTAGTAAATCGATATAGGAATCTTTCAACTTTCTATTGACTAAATTAAGTCATAACTAAACAAAGACAGTATGTATAAAATGACCAAAAATACACTCCTAGTTAACTGTGTTTTCCTTTCCACTTATCCATAACTATTATGAATAAATACAACCCTCTACAAGGTCTTGTTTTGTCTATCAAGCTATAAAATTTGAAAAGAACAAAGAGGGGAAAAAACTTACAAATAATTTTAGCTACAAATAACTTGCACTCAGAAACCAGTTCTGATACTTTCAGCTGCTCTTACCAAGCCCTCAGAACTCTGAGAGAAGGCCTTTGTAAGCACTCAAGATAGAGAATTATGCTCCCAACCTCTATTGTCATTTACGAATGACAGAGTGGTATTACAATACAGTGAATGGTTCTTCTCTCCATATCAGAGCTGGAGAACAAGGAGGATAGTTCGTAAACAAAATCACTGTCCAGAAGACACAAGGTGTCTACTAGAATGTTAAATATCCTTAAACGTTGATATATCAAGTTCAAGGCAGACAAATTATAAATATTATATTTTTGCTTTAAAATAGGAAACAAAGTCATTTAATGTGAGAGTTTTCCTACCTTAAAATATTCTACAAGATCTCTACAAGTGACTTTAGATCCACTTATCTCTTTTTCTACCAAATTTTCAGGGGCAAGCAGCAATGGAACCAGATTTCGAAGCTCTCGTTTAAAGTCTTCATCAATATCTATTGGACATGAAATTAGTCAACATATTAGTTCAAAAAAGCTAAGAACTACCCATTGTTAAGAACTCATAAAATTCTATTTCATGAAATAAGTGTTCACAGTATCAATTACTTAAGTAGATTCATTTAAAATTCATCCAAACATGTCATCTCCTAGAAAATATACAGCACCCCTGACATTGCCCCTCACACCCCAAGAATTCTTTCAGTCAAATAATAGTGTGGACTACACAAACAAATCCCACATTAAGTATTAACTAAACTATCCCTTTCAGAAGGCAAATAATTCAAAAATATGTATTAAATTTTAAGATTTTTCCCCAGTCATACTGTAAAAGCTTCATCAATCTTCAAGCCTTTTACCATCATTCTCAAAATAATCCAAAAACAAACATAATAAAGTTATACTATCCCCCTTGAAAAGGAGGAACTAAAATCTGGTTCTATCAATACAGTACATTTTAGCAGAAAGCAATCAGATGAAATACTGAAATGTTCTCAGAACTTTTAGGACATCAGTGCTGAGCAACAGAGCACATAAAATGTTAATCAGTATGATAGCTGTTTGCAAAACACCAATGGAAAGCTAGAAAGACCACACAGAGTATTATAATCACATCATTAACAATGCATCAAAATGTCCTCCAGTATAAAACACAAAATTTAAAGATCATGTTTGGTTTTTTTTTAAACTTTCAGCCCCTAAAAAATAAGTTCTGATTTTAGCAAGAATGGGAATTCCCACCTTTCAATCTCCCATCAAAACTAGGATTAGTTGCAACTTTAAGACCAGGATGTGGTAAAAGGAAGCAACCAAGATTTGAGAAACAATTGTGAATGTGCTTCCTTACATTCTGTAGCTCTTCATGCTGATTTTGCTTTACCTGAGGGCAGAAGGAGACAGAATGAAGGTGCAAACAGGAGCAAAAAACTTTTTAAAGAAAACACACATACTCACATGCATGCACACTTAACTCAGATGCTATTCCAGATAGGTGTTTGACAATATAAAATTTTACTAAAGATCCATTTCTGACCTCTCTGGTAAGACCCCACTTTGTCTTAAACCAGAAAAGATGTTTTTCCCCCCTGTTAGCTGCCAAGGACATGAAAAAAAAAATTAACAACCATAATATCTAACACCAGAATAATAAGTCATGGTTGAGATATATAAACCATGTAAGAAATTAAGAATCTTCCTTTAAAGTACTTAACAATGGCAAAGAGAAAAAAAAGTATTAATCTGCCTACAAATAAAAGGGTCAAATAATAGCTAAAGTGATCACCCAGTGCAATCCAAAGAACCTTAGAAATGTGTTAGGATTTCAGCTCTCAGTCCCAATGATATTTACGATTAATGCTAGTTATCAATGTTTGGGGAAGAGAGATTGCTCTGTCTTTTCTGGAAGAATACCTTAACTTTAGATTTTTAATAACTATTTATCCCAATATAACTTCTCAAAAATTATTCTAAAAAACATACCCAAATACCCCAGTCATAATCAACAAAACCTGGAAATTACCTAAATCACTATCAAAAGTAGAACTGAAAAATCATTGTTTATTCATTCAATGGAATACTGCATAGCAATAAGAATTAACTAAGCGCCGAAACCGGTTTGGCTCAGTGGATAGAGCCTCGGCCTGTGGGCCAAAAGGTCCCAGGTTCAATTCCGGTCAGGGCATGTACCTTGGTTTCGGGCACATCCCCAGTAGGGGGTGTGCAGGAAGCAGCTGATCGATGATTCTCTCCCATTAATGTTTCTAACTCTCTATTCTTCTCCCTTCCTCTCTGTAAAAAAATCAATAAAATATATTTAAAAAAATAAATATAAATAAAAGAATTAACTAAGCTACTTGCAACAGTATGTATTAATCTCAGAAACATAATAGACAAAAGAAGTTATTCACAAACAAATACATACTGTATATGATTCCCTTCATACAAAAGTATAAAAACAAAGCCAATTAGAGTCAGTAAACTGGTAGAAGGTTTGGGTCAGAGGAAGGGTGGTTGTCAGTGGATGGAGGTGGGTGATTCAGGATGCCAGGAACATGGTGGCTATGTTTAATTTGTACAAATTCATCAAGCTGCAGACTGATGGTTTTAAGCACTTTTCTATGTCACTTCAGTAAGACACTAAAAATCCTTCTTGGCTTTTAAGTGCATAATTCTGAGTTTAGGCAGTATGCCTAATGTGCTGTGTTAATTTCTTCTGAACAAACCAGAGAAAATTCTAGATGACTAAAATGATCTCCAACAGTAGGGTCTGAAGATAAAAATGCCTTTCAAATAATCCAAGATTGAGGAGCTGGTTTTAATCTCATTTTAGAAATAAGACAACTATATCGTACCCAAAGTTTATGAATGCAGTTGAGAAACTAAATGTGTCATCACATAAGCAAAGAAAATTGTATTAATCAAGACAGAACCCTCTTTTGTGTAGGTGAGTGGATGGGTAGTATCTGACAAAAGGGTTTCCCAAATAATGCCATGGAAGGTATCTTTGGGAATAAAGGATCACGTTGGCGAGGTTATTTTCCAGGAATGCCTTCGTGTAGCATCCTCCATGGGCCAGGAGACTGGATATTCAGGTTGTAGTCCAGTTATCAATAATTAGTTGAAGTGATCAAAAGCAAGTCACTTTTCTGGGTTCTAGTTTTACAATATATATATATCTTTTAAAAAGAAGACTGAACTAGATATTTAAGATCCCTTTCTAGCTCCATATGCTGTCATTCTATGAGATAGTATTCCTTGGAGAGATGGCCTCACATCCGCATCATCTGTGCTTGATGCATGCACATTACATTATCCAGTCTGTCCTAAACGTTCAGAAGATCAGCTGGGCCAAGAGGAACATGGGTGCAATCTAAGCAGGTAAGTCATTGTCCTCTTTTCACCGATTATGTATGGAGTCCTCTGAGCTAATTGGGGATACTCAATTTATTCTTTATCCCAAGGATACCTAGAGACTGGTAGTCTAAGCAGCAGTCAAGGAAGTCCACTCCTTCACCTGGCTTGGCATTTACACTCTCCTAAGAAGTGGGGCTTACCTGCAATCTCTTTTCAAGGAATTGTTTTCCACCTTCCAAACCATATGAGTGTTCATAAGGGTAACTCCAATCTCGAATCAAAAACATTAATGTCTATACACAGGGGGGGAAAAAGAAATAATTTATTTTATAAAATCTTGAAAAAAAAAAACACACTACTTTAATAACTAAAGCCAAATAAGGCCCTAAACAATCCTTATAAAAATTTGTAGTATTAAATGGTCAATGCTGCTCATAGTTATATCAAGGGCCTACCTAAACTAACACTCCCAGATCACATACCACCAAGCAGTTACCTCCATTTGAGAACTTTCCTATGTTTAAAGAGCTACCACAAGCAATAATGCAGGTTTTAAGTTAACTCCCCACCCAAAATGTTGACAACCAAAAATGTCTCCAGACACTGGCAAATATCCCCTTGGTGGTAAAAATACCCCAATTCAGAAAAAAAGGAAACAGGCCCAATAGAGTGTATTTCATCCATGTACACAAAATAAAGCTATAACCAGCCCAAATATTTCATAAAAGTAATCACTTGAGCAAGACAAGACTGAGGCAGAATTGTTTTTAATTAATCTCTATCATAAAGGGCTCCACAGAAGCAAGCAAAGCAAATACTTCTAAAATAACTCCACCCAGATTAATTTCTAACAATATTCTGTACCTATCATTTAAAAAACATGGGCATAAAAGAGCAGAAGGGGGGAGAAATATAAATAATTATCTATGAAATCAAAATAAAGAACAGGATTAACCTCAACTTACAATACACCACCACCAAAGAAACCTATGCTATTTTGTAGTAGTTTATCGTGTTAAAAGAAATTTAAGTGACTATTAAGTATTAGAATTCGTAATATTTAATTTAGAATCTATAGTCATCTGTTCTACTTCCTACTAGTATTTGATTAGCCTACTATTGATAAGTTGGTGATAACATTACCATAAATTAATATCAATTCTGCTGAATCTATTGCTAAAAATAAGTTTGTTGTAATGACCTCATGTTTTCAGTTACAAATGAGATGACTCGATAGCTGTCCATAGGTAACTTAAAAAAAAAAAAAAGATAAAATATTTATTTTACCTGAAATGGTTTCTGGTAGATTTCTTCCATTGCAAGCCTGCCATACTCTGTAAATAACTATTAAATCAAGTTATTTAAAATAATGCCTCCAAAGAAATTGAAAGATTACATCTGTAAACTGTTTTACATCAGACCACTAGATGTCAGATATCATCTGAAAGCCAAGCATTTAATTTTTTAACATACTGGGTGGTATATATTAAAATTTAATTAATAAAAAGTTTAATGAATAAGAAGTCATACATCAGTTTAAAATCATGCAGTATTCAATCTTCTTACAATGTTATAGGCTTTTAGAAGTAAAGCCACAATAAACTAGGAATTAAATTTTCAATACTTGGACATACATGAAGTCTTACGTACTTGCAAGTGCTGAAGATCATCTTCTTGAATATTCTGAGACAAATTATACACCTGTTAAAACAAAATTGTTTTTACTGGTGTTTTATTTTGAATACCCAGCTGTGTATAGCTTTACTTGTGGAAATAAAGGCTATTTTATACTTCTGTACAAATGAATCACTTAGCCACTCACTATATTAATCTGTGGCATATGAAAAGGATATTTTCATTTTTCCTAATAGGATAAAACATTCAGAGGAAAACAGTGGGAGTAAACTATAAAAATCATGAATACATGCATATGGGGCCTAAAAAAGTAGCAGACTTTTAAAAAGTAGTAAGTTTCTATTTTCCTTCTCAAGGTTACTTTAAAATGTTATAAACAGGTGTTTTTTTTTAAGTAAATATTGTTTCCAAAATTATTTTTCTCAAGTCAATTAATGTGAGGGGCATAGTTCTACAAAGATAAATTCCTCCCTGATACCAGTACAATCATAGTATATAGCTGATAGTTATTCGATGGGTGTCTCAACTACCTTCGATTCTAATATTGCTCTCTTTTTACACAAGTAACTCATCAGACTAAATAACATGAAAATTTCAACAGTTTGTGCTAACTAAAAATAAATAAATAAATAAATAAATTTAAAAAATAGCAGTAGGTGGCACTCTTGCCCTTTCTGAAATTCTCAAGAAGCTTTCCATAGACCAGAGCTGATAATGGAAGGTCTAAGTACTCTCAGGGAAGGAAAATTGGAGAAAAGATTCACTAGGTCCAGTCCTTCTGGCTCAGGTCTTTATGAGGTGACCTGGGCCACCACAGGAGAAAAATGGATGTCCACAGATGTCACTCTGCTAAGAAATAACGTTGTCTAAGAAAACAGGGTTGCTCCAAAGATAGAACAATTTGTTCTAACAGCAAATGAGTGATAATCTAGCTGAATCACTTGGAAGTCAAGAATACAAACAGCCAATATAGGTCAGCAAAATTAAAATAATATTCTCCGCTGACTAACTCCAAACAGAGTATTTAAAAAAGTAACTAATGACTGAGGTGATTAAACTCTTAGATTTAAACTTACAACCAAGAAAATAAATAAATAAATAAATAAATAAATAAATAAATAAATAAATAATAGATAAATAAACTTAAAACCAAAAGCATGACCAATCTATTTTTACCACATGGGCCTTAACTTTTAGATAAGAGGTCCAGATCCTTTCATTGTCTGAGCCAAGTTGCAAATAGCAACGAGAGGATTTGTTCATTTAGATGGTTAGTACTTAACATACTGTGTTGCACTTAATAGAGGCTCAATAATTATTTGATGAAAGAACAGATAAAAAGAGATCAATTTGTCATTGATCTATCATCCAGACAGCTTAAATAAAGAAGGTGAGAAATCTAGCCCCAAAGATCAGGAGGAAAGCAATAATAAAAAAAATAACTTTAATCTTCTTGGTTATTAATAGTTTACAAAGCACTTTCTTATTGCATTATCTCATTTAGATCTCATATCTGATTGCACATGACTACCACATGTGAGATAAGCAAGATGGGTAAAATACTCATTTCATAGATAAAAGAGTGGATGAGTGACCGTAAATGATTGTCCAAAACCAGGCCTTCTACTACCATAAAACTGAATAAACAAGAGGAAATCATGGTACAAGTTTTAGGACAGAGAACTCCACTCCACATTATATTTTAAGGCAAGCCACAATGCTAACTGAAGGGCTATACTGTGATAATAGAAACACAAAAAGGTGGCTTCTGCTTTCCTAAAGGGATTAGCAGTTCTGCCAGCTTGCACGATCAGAGAAAAAGAGGTTGAACAAAATGGACAAAGGAGACTGAGGATCCCCAAGTGACAGTGACAGATATCCCAAGCCCTATAATAAATAGAAGCCAGGCTGAAAAGTACTCCTCTTTTATCTCATGATACACAACACTTCTTCCCACTCTGACAGCTAGTTACTTCAAATTGAGGAAGTATGGAAATAGAAACTTCCAGACTGGTCATATGTTCCAGATATTACTGGAAAGCATAACAAAAATTCCAAGACTGTGACAGCATCACCTATAACCTACCACTGAGAAGAAACATTTCTTATGTTAGGAGTATATATCTGCCAGCCATATGACTGAATCCAACTAAGGATAGCATGCAATAACTTTTTCTTTAAAAAAAAAAAAAAAGGCATCAGATACTATGAAGAAAAACCATAGGAATTGGCTATTGATTTATTACTTTCTTGGCAAGCACTCAAAAGTATGAAATTTTATACTGTGAGCCAGAACAGCAAGCATGAAATGTAAATAGCTCTAACTTTAACCCTTTTTTCTCTGATCAAAAGGCATTTTGAGGAAGAGGAAAAGTATTAAGTTGGTCTGAACCAATCATACCACAGCATCTTGTGTCTCACCTGGACTGAGCTAGTCATAGTGCTCAGAGCAAACACTGTTGCACAGTCTTTGATTGTTGACTGGCTATCGAAGGCACCCTGAGTATCCATTAGCAGCACAGCCACCTAGAAATTTAAAATTTAAAAAACTAAGTAAAATATTCACCAATAGTGAATTTAAAAATCTATATATATAAAAGCCTAAGCAACCGTTCCTACCTAATGAATGGAACCGGCCAATCATCACTATTACAGGCGCTACCAGAGGAAGCTGCTCAGTGCAGGAGCTGTTCCCTGGTGATCAGTGCACTCCCACAAGGAGCGCACTGCTCAGCCAGAAGCTGGGCTCATGGCTGGCGAGTGCAGCTGTGGCAGCAGGAGCCTCTCCCAACTCTGCAGCAGTGCTACCAAGTGGTGGCAGCAGGCAGTGGGCTGGGATGAGGGTGAGCAGTGTGATGCCTGGCCTCACTTCAGGCTCTTCCCTAGCCGCCTGCCACTTGACGCTCTGCTACATCCCCCAAGGAGTCCCAGACTGCAAGAGGGCACAGGCCAAGCAGAGGGATCTCCTTTAATACTAGAAAATAACTCAAGAAAGAATACGGGGGAAAAAACACAGTAAGTATAAATAATATTTACTTTTGTTCCATCAGGTCTGTCAATCACAAACACTTCATTCCAGACTTGTATGCCTGTTGTTTCTCTTTCGCAACCACCTCGCCATGTAAAGCCAGTCAATGGTTCATTGTTTCCACCAATCCAACTTTGAGAATCCTGTAAAAGTAAAGCATAAATGTAAAATAAAACAAAAAATTAAGAACTAGAAAGAAATATAAAAAAAACCCACTCTTTATTTTACAGATGAGGAAGGCAAATCCAGTGAGATAAAATACACTGGAATATTACACAAGCAGTTACAAAAGCAGTCCCAAATCTCAACTGAGGTGGTCCATCAGTTGTGGTCTTTCTCACACCTAAACCCTCTCAAATCTGCTCACATTTTCTCTCTCTATACTTCTAGATAAGTGGAGTCACACCACTTTTCCCCATTTTAAAAAGCTTTCTTATCCTATATAATAAAAGCCTAATATGCTAAGTGTCCAACTGTTCAACCATTCAACCAGTCACTATGACGTGCACTGACCACCAGGGGGCAGATGCTCCAACTGGTAGATTTGCTTGCTGCTGGGGCCCGGACAATCGAGACTGGGCGAGACAAGCCAGACATACCCTGGTGCCCTCCCTTGGTCCTTCCCCTGCCCCAATCATGCACCAGTGGGTTCCCATTGCATGGCCTGCACCCTCTCACAATGTCAGAGAGCTGGTTTCAGTCTGATCCCCACAGGCCAGGCTGAGGGAGCCACCAGTGCACGAATTTGTGCACCGGGCCACTAGTGTTTAATAATCACACAAAAATGGCTACCATCTATTTTGACATTTCTCATATAGATAAGCAAAACTAAGTTCCAGACAGAATGACTGTCAAAAACAGTATATCTCTTAGAATAACTTACACTAAAATGTTTTTGCACAACCTTAATGTTCTCTTTAAAAAAAATATCGACTTTAAAAATAACCACAAGACTTGTTTGGAATCTGATTCAAACAATCCAACTGTAAAAGCCTCTAAAGAACCTAGAGTGGATATTATATTAGATGGTATTAAATCAGAACAAAGTGGATTCTTTGCTATGATAATACTATTATGGTTATGTTATTAATAAACACATTAACAGAGTCCTTTTCTGTTAAACATGCATGTATTTATGGTGAAAGGCTGTATCTGCCATTTGCTTAAAAATGTTAAGAAGAAAAAAAAAAGAAACAAAAAAAAAGAATTGCCTAGCCGGCATGACATGGCTCAGTTGTTGAGCATTGACTTACGAATCAGAAAGTCATGGTTCAATTCCTGGTAAGGGCACATTTAAAAAACAAAAGCAAGTGTAACAAACAAAACAGTGCAAACATAAGATATATTAATCCAACAATATCATAATCGTTTTAGATATGCAAGATCTAAAATAAAGCAATTAAAAAACAAAAACTTGCCGAAACCAGTCTGGCTCAGTGGGTAGAGCGTCGGCCTGCGGATTCTGGTCGGGGAGGAGGGATGGGGGCATTGTACCTTGGTTGTGGGCATATCCCCAGTAGGGGGTGTGCAAGAGGCAGCTGATCAATGTTTCTCTCTCATCGATGTTTCTAACTCTCTATTCCTCTCTCTTCCTCTCTGTAGAAAATCAACAAAATATATTTTTTTTGAATAATAAAAATAAAAAACAGAAACTGTCACTGTGGATAAAAAAGACCCAACTATTCATTGTCTACAAAAAACACACAGTTTAAATATAAAGACACAGGTAGGTTCAAAGTAAGAAAATTAAGGAATATATATCATGCAACCACTAATCAAACAAAAGCAAGAGTAGCTGTACTAATTTCAGACAGAGCTGACTTTAGAACAAGGAAATTATCAGCATAAAGTATAGTATTACATATAATAAAGGAGTCAATTCTCTAAGAAAACTTAACAATCGTTAAAGTGTATGTACTTCACAACAAAGCATCAAAATATATGAGGCAATACTAAACTAACACCTCTCAATCACTAACTGACAAATGCAGCAAACAAAATCAGTAAGGGTATATAGTTGAACTGAACAGCACCAGCAATCAAGTGAATAAACTGGAATTATAGAACATTTCATCTAACAACAGAATGCACATTCCTCTCAGACACACACAGAACATTCACCCAAATAGACCACATTCTAGGGCTAAAAACAAATTCAAAGGAATAGATTATACAAAGTATGCTCTCAGACTACAATGGAATTAAACTAGAAACCAATAATATCAGGGCTGAAAAGCTCAAAATAATTGGCGTCTAAACAACACACTGTGAAACAACATAGGGGTCCACAGAAGCTTTTTAAATATTTGAACTAAAAGAAAACAAAAATACAACTCATGAGAATATGAAATGCAGCGAAAGCAGTGCTTAGAGGAGAATTTATAGCATTGGGTGCACACATTAGAAAGGAAGGAACTTAAACTAGTCATCTAAATGTCCACCTTAGGAAATTAGAAAAGCAATATAACCTAAAGCAAGCAGAATACAGGTAGAACAGAAACCAATAAAACTAAAAAGGAAAAACAAAACAAAAACAAAAAAACAGGCTATCAATAGGGGGGGGGGGGGGGGGAATCAATGAAACCAAAATATGTTTCTTTGAAAAGATCAATGAACTTTATTTGAGAGAGAAAAAAGACAATATCAGAAATCAAAGAGGAGTTAAGATTATTATTTGATGGACATTAAAAAGATAATAAATTAATAGTAAGAACTTTATGCCCACAATTTTGATAGCCTAGTTACAATGGATCAATTCTTTGAAAGAAACAAACTACCAAACTACACATATAAAAATAAAATTATCTGGCCGGCACTGGTTTGGCTCAGTGGTAGAGCGTCGGTCTGCGGACTGAAAGGTCCCGGGTTCGATTCCGGTCAAGGACATGTACCTTGGTTGCGGGCACATCCCCAGTAGGGGGTGTGCATGAGGCAGCTGGTCGATGATTCTCTCTCATCGACGTTTCTAGCTCTCTATCCCTCTCTCTTCCTCTCTGTGAAAAATCAATAAAAATATATTTTTTAAAAAAAATAAATAAAATAAAATAAAATTATCTGAATAGGCCTATATCTACTAAAGAAATTTAATGAATAATTAATAGCTTTCTAAAAAAAATAATGAACTAAAGCCCAATTTCACTGGTGAATTTTACTAAATATTTGAAGAAACTCTTCCAGGAAATAGAAGCAGAGGAAAACACTTCCTAACTAATTCTATGAGGCCAGTATTATCTTAATACCAAAATTGGCTAGACATTACAAGTAAGAAAAACTCATGATCAATAATCTCATGAACACAAATACAAAAATACTAAGTAAAGTACTAGCAAATTGAATCCAACAATGTATAAAAAGAATTATACTGTATGCCATAACTAAGTCAGATTTATTCCAGGGATGTAAGACTGACTCAATATTTAAAAAAATTTAATCCATAACATCAACTGGATAAAGAAAAATCACGTGATCATATCAATAGATGCAAAAGAAAGCATTTGACAAAAAAAATATCCACTCATGATTTAAAACAAAAAACTCCCACTAGGAATAGAGAGAATCACGTGATCATATCAATAGATGCAAAAGAAAGCATTTGACAAAAAAAATATCCACTCATGATTTAAAACAAAAAACTTCCACTAGGAATAGAGAGAAACACCCTGAACGTGACTTTAAATTTACAAAAACAAAGCCGGGACCGGTTTGGCTCAGTGGATAGAGCGTTGGTCTGCGGACTGAAGGGTCCCGGGTTCGATTCCGGTCAAGGGCATGTACCTTGGTTGCAGGCACATCCCCAGTAGGGGGTGTGCAAGAGGCAGCTGATCGATGTTTCTCTCTCACCGGTGTTTCTAACTCTCCATTCCTCTCTCTTCCTCTCTATGAAAAATCAATAAAATATATAAATAAATTTACAAAAAAAAAAACTTTAAATTTACAAAAAAATCTACAGCTAATACCATACATAGTGTTGAGAACCTAGATGCTTTCATTAGGATGTCTGCTCTTATCACTTGTTCTCAACATTGTACTGGAGGTTCTAACCAGGAAAATTAGCCAAGAAAGATAGATAAAAGGTATTCAAATTGGGGGGGAAAAAAAGTAAAACTATCTCTATGTACAGATGAAATGATCATATATATAGACGACTCTAAAGCAGTGGTTCTCAAATTTTCTAATGCTGCGACCCTATAACACAGTTCCTCATATTGTGGTGACCCCCAACCATAAAATTATTTTCGTTGCTACTCTCTAACTGTAATTTTACTAGTTATGAATCGTAAATATTTGTGTTTTCCCATGGTCTTAGGCAACCCTGCTAGCGATTCTGACCAACAGAAAACACAGATATTTACATTATGATTAATTAACAGTAGCAAAATTTCAGTTATGCAGTAGCAACAAAAATATTTTTATGGTTGGGGGTCACCACAATATGAGGAACTGTATTAAAAGGTTGCAGCATTAGGAAGGTTGAGAACCACTGCTCTGAAGAATCCACTAAAAAAACTATTGCAACTAATAAAAGAGTTGAGCAAATTTGCAAGATATAAGATCAAAGTACAGAAATCAAATGTATTTCTATAAACTTGGAATGAACAATGTGAAAATGAAATTAAGAAAACTTCCTTTAATAACATTAAAAAATAAAAAATTTAAAAACCAATAAAATTTACTCTGCAAATTACAAAACATTTTTGAGAGAAATTAAAGAGCTAAATAAATGGGAAAATATCCCATGTTCATGGATTGGAACACTTAATATTAAGAGAGCAATACTCAAACTTTCAGTCTCAAACCAATCATCAACAGAACCCCATTTAATCTCTCATAGGAATCTGTAAGCCAAATCTAAAATTCATATAAAATTGCAAGAGACCTAGAATTAGACAATCTTGAAAAGGAAGAACAAAGTAAGAGAACTCTCACTTCTTGATTTGAAAACTTACTACAAAGCAACAGTAATCAAGACAGTCTGGTACTAGTATAAGAATAGACAAAGAGGTCACTGAAACAGAATTGAGAGCCCAGAAATAAATTTACATGTCCATAACCAGCTAATTTTCAACAAGGTTGCCAAGACCACTCAATGGGGAAAGAATAGTCTTCCCAACAAATGGTACTAGGACAACTGGACAGACACATACAAAAAAAAAAAAGAAACTGAACCCTTACCTCACACCATTTTTATATATAGATATATAAAAGTATTATGTATAATTAGTGAATATATGTTAAACTATGCTAATACAATTACAACATTATTTATAAGACTAAGGATGGAAACCCAAATGTCTATTAACTATACATATAAAAAGCCAGTGAACGGAACCCCATAAGGATCAGAATGACCAATTGCTAAGACACCCACTGCAGCCAGCGAACCAAACAGCCAACCTCCTGTGACTTTTCCCCACCCCACCCCCGCCCCCAACTGCCCATAGCCCTTCCCCACACCCAGCCCCACCCCGATTGGCCCGAAGACTCCCCACAGCCGGCCCTCTCCCCTAATTGCCCCCTACCCCAATAGGAGGTGGGCTGGCTAGCTAACCTCCTTCAGCCCCTCCCCCCAGCCAGTCCCATGCCCAATGCGCCCCCACCACCCCGATTGACCCATGGCCAGATCCCTCCCCACAGCCACCCCCTGATCGCCCCCCTCCTTCATACCAATCAGGGGCAGGGCCCACTGGCCTACCACCCATAACCCCTCACCATGGCCAGCCCCGCCCCCAATCTAGGATGGGGCCCACCAGACAATTGCCCACGGCCCTTCCCCCAGCTGGCCCGGCCCTGATCAGGCCCCAATCAAGGTGGGTTGGCCGGCCAACCTCCCGCCGTCTCCTCCTCCTGACAGGCCCGGCCCCAATATTCCCCGATTGAGCCAGACAGACCACACCCCTGCTTGAATTCGTGCACAGGGCCTCTAGTAGATAAATAAAATCTGTTATATCTATACAGTAGAATATTATTATCCTAAAAAGCAATGAAGTACTGATAATGCTACAACATAAATGAACCTTTAAAGTGCCCTGGCCAGTGTGACTCGGTTGGAGTGTCATCTGTATCATTGGTTCAATTCTTGGTCAGGGCACATATCTGGGTTGCAGGTTTGATCCCTGGTTGGGGCATGTGTATGTATCTCTCCCTTCCTCCCTCTCTAAATAAATAAATAGATAACACTGAGTGAACGATGGCAATCACAAAAGACCACATATTATCCAGCCAGTGTGGCTAAGTGGTTGAATGTCAACCCATGAACCAGGGGTCACAGTTCCATTCCTGGTTAGGACACATGCCCAGGTTGCAGGCTCAATCCCCAGTGTGGGGTGTGTGGAGGCAGCCAATTGATGATTCTCTCTCATCATTGATGTTTCTCTTTCTCCCTCTCCCTTCCTCCCTCTGAAATCAATAAAAAAATAAAAAAAATTATTTAAAAAAAAAAAAAAAGACCACATATTATATCACTTCCTACCTTCTTTAGCTAGCACACCACCTTTGAAGGTATACAGGTTAATGAAATAAATCGAAAACCATTCCATTGTTATTGCTCCTTTCATCTCCTAGGAAAGCTATGACCCACCATTAAATTAGTACAAGCATGTCATCTTACAAATCAGACGCTGTTTAATTTTCAATTAAGAGAGATTACGAGAGATTACTTATATCAGGAATTCTACACGGAAACCTTTTGAATAAAAATTAATAAAAATATTTCAACTTAGAAGGTACTAATTAGGTATGTAACAGCACTCAAGCCCTCATAACTTTCAATGGCTTCAGTGTCTTCCCCAGTTAAAGGGGTAGGAATCCTATTAGCGAGAGACAGCAAATACATGTGTGGACTGCTATTCCTCCTCTGAACAGCCCCTACTAATTGATCAGAGATGGAATCACAAATGGCACCTGAGGTGAAACTTATCTGTCATTGCCAGACAAGTGATCTAAGATTCCTTCCCCTTCTAACATTTTACTGTGTGACCTACTTGAAATCAAATACATTTGCAGTGAACAGCTCAGACACAGAAAGAGACAATTCACTCAAACTAACTAAGGAGTTGGAACCTCAAAATACAGAAATTCTTAACCAACTTTAAATGTACAGTGTACTTTTATTTATACATTCCTCTCAGATGTGAAACTCAGGGGGGAAAAAACAAGTTTAAGTGGAAAAACTTTAAAATACCATCTTTCTCAATTTCCAATAGAATAGTATTCTTTAATATGAACTACATTCTGATACTCAGGCACACTTGAATATTCCTGAAGAGACCCCTATAAAAAGAATTTCCTGAAAAGCAGATGCCTAATCAGTTACAGATTTATATAGAACTCATAAAGGTGAGCACCTTGACTAATATTTAGACCAACAGTCGCCAACCTTTCTAACCTCACGGACCACCAGTAGTCCGCAGACCATCGGTTGGACCACTGACTTAGACAATTACATAATTCTGTCAAAGTGTTATTTCTAGCATCTTCATGTGGCTTCTCAATGCCAAAATGTCAAATGCTCCCAATAAAGCCCTTCCCACTAAATGATCCATTCCAAATTTCCTATTCTTTCTTGGTCTCTATCAAACTCCCATCCCCTCAGCCCAACTTGAAACTGTTATAAAAACATTCTGTTTCAAATTTTTAAAAAAACTTTTTTTTCAGGGAAAAAGTCAGAATCGGAGGGGTGCAAGGGAGGAGGGAAGTAACAGTTGTCTGGCACCATCAAATAGTGAAAATGTGTAAGGAAAGGGAGATCATTAGCCAAAATATAAAATGAGTGCTTACACAGGCCAAGTATTGTGCTAGGTGCAGGAGATATGGTATTCAAGATAAGGCCCACCCTTGAGAGAGGTTAAACTAGCCAGAAAAAAAACTATATATAAAAGCCTAAGCAACCATCGCAACTGAACCGCCGGGGAGTTAGTGAGGGGCAACCAAACAACCAAACAGCAGGCTGCATGGGGCAACTGGGCCTGCAGGGGAGACAGTTGAGGGTGACCAGGCCAGCAAGGAGGACAGTTAGGGGCAATCAGACAGGCAGTTAGGAGCAAGTGGTCCCGGATTGTGAAGGATGTGCCAGATTGGAGAGGGTGCAGGCTAGGCTGAGGGACCCCCCACCCCCACCCCTGTGCATGAATTTCGTGCACCAGGCCTTTAGTAATAAAATGGTATAAAAAAAAAATAGTATCAATAAAACACATGGCCGAAACTGGTTTGGCTTAGTGGTAGAGCGTCGGTTTGCGGACTGAAAAGTCCCAGGTTCGATTCCGGTCAAGGGCATGTACATTGGTTGCGGGCACATTCCTGGTAGTGGGTGTGCAAGAGGCAGCTGGTCGATGTTTCTCTCTCATCGACGTTTCTAGATCTCTCTCTCTCTCTTCCTCTCTGTAAAAAAATCAATAAAATATATTTTGAAAAACACATGACCTGTGCTTTGAGCATTGGGAGAAGGACATAACTTAGTCTTAGACATTAGGGAAGGCCTCCTGTGAAGACTGGCCAAGGGCATAGTGACATTTGAGAAAAATATGACACACTCAAGGAACTAAAAACTATAAAATCCTTTTATGAACAAAGGAAAGAGATGAGTCTAAGAGAACATGGAAGATACTATAAGGGACTCAACTTCATCCAAAAGATGAAGGTGACTCGAGGGGCATACTTCTACAAAAGTCTCTATCAGCTTACCTCACCCACTAGAAAGGTGTTCAAGAAGGGGAAGGTACAAAAAAATAACAAAAAGGGAGAGATGAACAGTACTTCAGAGACTTTGGAGTATATTCAGGCATCTTGGATTAGAGCTCCAATGCCTGAACATAGATGCTCAATTTTATACATCTGTATGTATTATAAGCAAAAGGAATTATAGAGATGAAGTGCAATCAAGAGCTCAATCATATATTACTGTCATAACTGAGAAGTGTTATTAAGAACTGATTTTTGTAAAACTAAAAATACAGCTCTTACTATTTTTTGTCTATTAGCTTTTTTAAAAAAATTGGTTGGTTGGTAAAGTTTGTTGTTTTTAATTGGGTTCAATTTAAAAGACACTATTCACCTTGTTATACATATATCTAAGCATGAAGTCCAGTAGAAATGATTTCCCTTTACGAAAAGCTCCTGCCACGGATACTACCACTATGTTAAGATCACGAATGTGCTCCTGTAGCAATATCTGCTCCAAAGCTTCTTCATCAAGCTCAAAGTTATGGTCATCTTCATGAGCAAGAACAATCTGTACTGGACATGGTTTCTTCATAACCTCATCAGAGTTTACTAGGTTCTCATCTTCATAATCCTCACCTAGAATTTAAAAAAAGAAAAACATTACATAAATTTCTGCATTACAAACTTTTTCTAAAGATCACAATTAAAGCAAAATTTCAGTTAATTTCCCATACCACCCCACCCCATCACACACACACCCCTTACAACCATCCGAAAATATTTACAAGTGATGGTCAGGTAGAGGTTGGATTTCCCATTCCTTCTATAATAAGACCAAGAATACCAGTAAGATTTCCCACTATATCTATAATAAAAGCATAATATACTAATTAGACTGGACAGCTGGACAACCTTCCAGACGAAGCTGGGACTATGAAGGCCAAGCCCCTTGCACAAATTTCATGCATTGGGCCTCTAGTATACAGATAAGGCGCAATACTAAATATGGACTCTATCTCAATTAAGTCTTTAACAGCTAAATGTGAACAGTAGATATTGCTGAGCACTACATTATTCTATAAACAACTTTTGCTACTATATGCACACAGAAACTAGTTGGAGGATCAATTTCGCCTAATAATTCACAATCCAATTTTCCTTGTAGGTATTGCCTGAAAGTTACTCCAAGTTACAAAGATTAAAATATGTAAGAAATGTAAGTACTTTTCATTCTGAAACTTTAAAGGGCTATGTTAAGGTCCTTAGACTTCTCCAAAAATGAGACTATGATAAAGCTAACAAGTCCCTAATTTAATAAGAGTAACTCAGTGGTGCACAGGATTAATGTTCAGTGGAAGACACAAGAAAAATGGTCAGTGAGGTGCAGTTATAACTTAATTATAACTTACTTTCAGCTACCTCTCCTGTTCTTTTTCACCAAATACCACAGCCACCACCTTTAAAATCACATAGCTCCCAAAACAGCTACATAAACTCTTCCTTGTTCACCCAGCACACCTGAAGAAAGTAACTGTTACAAAAGAACTTTTCTGAACAATGTGTCTCTCTCAACTGAATGGGAGTAAAAAGCCGAGACAGGCTGTAAAGACAGATGACAAACAGCAAAACTAGTTAAAGCCCATTGCTACCACTCTATAAGCATAAACTAGCAAAGCCTCAAACTAAAATTGCTTTACTTTCAATACTGTACTGTGCTTTTGTAACCTTTATTATAATTAGGATTCCCACAATAAGGATCAAAATTCAAATTTCTAACTATAAACACTATGAACAACTCAAAACCAAGCACTGTTGGCAATTAGCTGATGCTAACATCCAGTTAAAAACCTGGAGTTGTGCTTAGCACAAATATATGCACTATGCTCTCCTTTTTTGGGGGTAAATTTTCTTAAATTTTGGTACTTTTTGCTTTCACTATAATCTCAAAAAAAGTAAATCACCATAATGTCAAAAAAAATTTTTAAGTAAAAATATTGTCACTCTAGAAATAAAGCAAAGCACTTTAAAGTGTACAGAAGTGAAGAATAAAAGAATACAAATTATCATCCACGTTCAAACTATCATGTTCAACAAAGCACAACTGTGAAGGACACGGAAATATAACTGAAGGAAGCACAGACCTCTAGGTCAGTACAATTACCAGTAATCTTGCTAAATGTGACAGACTGACAAATGATGTGGGACAACTTCATAGAATGCATATCAGCAAATCCATAAAACTGAATCAGAAGCCATTTTCTTATAAAGGCACAGTCTACAGTCTTCAAAATGCTTAAAAACTGGACAGGTGTGAGCTAGTAAAGGAGAAAGTTTTTAGCTGACAATATTATTTGAGAAGTTTGGGAAGATAACTGACTGGCTCTGAAATTCGGTGGAAAGCAGTAAGTGCCATTACAAATGCACTGTTACCTGGAAGAGAAGAACTTGCTATGTGAGATCACTGTCAACAAAACAGAATTTCTCAGAAAGTGAATGCATTAGTAAAGCCAAGAAAGAAAGAGCAATGCAGAATTTCAAAGCAAACTTGATCTGTTAGAATTTCACTCAAAATAGTTCACCAACAAGGCACTTTCAAAGTGGAAAAGCAAGAAATCATTGAAGAAAAATTCTTCCCTACCATTTGTTATTCCTAGTTTTAGAGCATCAACAAGAAAAATATTAAGTAGAGAGTAACTCTGGATGTAATTCTAAGGTCTTTATTAAAATAACATGTATTATGTATATAATCATTACTAAATAATATGTTTATATTGGACATCTAGTTTATATTCCTAATAAATGTTCTTAAAAGATTATCCAATATTCACGTATTTTCAAGTTCAAGTATGATACAGAATGAAACAGATTTCCTATATCAAATTACCAATGAGAAATAACACACACAGGAACTAATCTGTCTGATGGAGACTGTTTAACTGGGAACCAATTAAATAGTATCTAAAGTCCTACATAAATAGAATCCAGGTAGTCTTCACTCTAGAAATGGGAACTACAAAAAGGCAGCATTGCACCATGATTTCGAAGACAGCTAGGTGAAAAACTGATGAGATAAATCAGCAATTTTCCTTTTTTCATCTCATGGCACACCTAAACTAATTACAAGGTATGTGCAGCATACCAAAAATATATTTTTTTTCCTGATCTGACCATAAAAAAGATATAATTTTATTCATTCACACCAGATAGCTACTATTATTGGCTGTTGTCATCTTTTATTTGACAATCTAAGAGAAAAGAGGTCATAGTCAGGTATTGCATGTTTTACAATTTCCTGCTGCACACTAGTTGTAAATCGCTGTCTTTAGGCACCTAATTATCTAAAAAGTCACTCTGGAGCAAAAAGGGTAGGTAATTTTTTTTTTTTTTTTTTTTTTTTTTTTGTAAATCAATCAAATGTGTGCCTATTTTTTTGTCAGATTGACAAAAAATATTTTTTTTGGTGTGATGCAGAAATGCAGTAATTAGTTTATGTGTGCCATAATAATCTTGTTTCTACTCTTTTTGAATGTATATATAGTTCATAGTTATTTCAATGTATAATATTAGAAGTGTTTGGGGTCTTTCTTTATAGGTTTAGTGATGCTTTATGACCAGAAATGTGCTACAGGAATTTAACTCTTGTTTATATTAATTAGCTTATGGTAAACTTGGTTATGCTATATATAATCTCACTGCAGTTTTAATAACCCATCAAAATTAAGTAAGAACTTGCTGTACTTAAAATTAAATCTAACATATCACTCACAGGGGTTTTGGACATTATGCAGCCAAACTCACCCATTTTAAAGATAAGGAAAACACATGCCTAGATCACTAAAGTGCCAGGTCTTATGAATTTAGTATTATTTCCTCTATAACAGTGCTTCACAAACTTTTAACATGTACATGAATGACCTGGGGATCCATGTTCTGATTCAGTAAATCCAGGGTAGAACCTGAAACTGTACACTTCTAACTCCAACATGATACCAGCACTGCTGGTCCTCAGGAAATAACAGAGTACCCAGGGTCACAATATTTACAGGTGTTTAGTATGTAAATATTACTTTATTTCATTTCATGTAATTTCAAGTGATATTCAAGTTCCCACAGTAGAAAAAAGTTTAAGCTCAACTATAACCATCCATTCTTCCTGGAAGACCGCTAACACTATGACATAACAACCACTCCATCTGGCTACCTACTTCAAAAATGTGAATGTAAAAGATATTTTAATATGTTGACATGATATAAAGCTAGAGTTGAAAACTACTAGTAAGGAATCATCATCAGTCACCTGGGTGAGTTTTTCTAGTAGTGCTCAACTTCCTTCCCCTTTCCCCAAATAGGTACTGCCCGGAGTAAGAATGACAATGACACAAACTTGGACTTCAATAAACTGTTTCTGAAAGAGAGAAGAACCTATTGGCCAATCAGTTACTAAAAAAAAAAAAAAAAAAAAAAAAAAAAAAGGTTTTAACTATTTGCTCCTATAAAATGTTATTAAAAAACGTATAAAGTTAACTGCTCTCATATGAAACTGGAACCACAATGCAAATTGCCAAAATAACAACCTGACAGACTCCTGCAGAGGAGCTATTAACAATGTCAGATATTAATTATGTGGGAGAGAAAGAAATTTTACACTACCCTTCTTTCTAGTCTTACAGCTGGTCTGTTTAAATTGATTTGAGACAGCCGGGACTGGTTTGGCTCCGTGGATAGAGCGTCGGCTTGCGAACTGAAAGGTCCCGGGTTCGATTCAGGTCAAGGGCATGTACCTTGGTTGCGGGCACATCCCCTGTGGGGGGTGTGCAAGAGGCAGCTGGTTGGTGTTTCTCTCTCATCAACGTTTCTAACTCTCTGTCCCTCTCAATTCCTCTCTGTGTAAAATCAATAAAATATATTTAAAAAAATAATAATAAAAAAAATAAATAAATAAATAAATTGATTTGAAACAAAGAAAAAACCGAATTTAATTATATATTGATATGGGAATCCTCACAAGCATGACAGGTTCAGAGACAGAAAAGTAAAATGAAGTAATGTAATCATAATGTAAATATCTGTGCTTTCCAATGGTCTTAGACTCTACAGCAGCGGTTCTCAACCCTGTGGTGCGCGATCCACAGGTTGAGAACTGCTAGCAGGGTCGCCTAAGACCATCGGAAAACACAGATATTTACATTATGCTTCATAACAGTAGCAAAATTATGAAGTAGCAACAAAAATAATTTTATGATTGGGGGGGTCACCACAACATGAGGAACTGTATTAAAAGGTCACGGCACTAGAAAGTTTGAGAACCACTGTTCTAGGTAGTTAAGGAGGGACAGGGTCTCAACTGCATTCAGCGCAAAATAATTCAAAGACCAAACTGGCATATTTGGGGAGGCCTGTTCTGAACCCCTTCAGATGACGTCCCCCATTAGCTTTATCCCTTTGACCAACAGGGCCATCCTAAATCACCAAGTTTTAAAAATGTTTGTAAAGAGTATATAATGTAGTTCATTTCCTTTCATTACTATCAAATCAAGAAATAAACAAAAAATTGTTTTCCTATAAATTGTACATATTATTTTGCACTTGAAGAAATCTGTTTCCATAGTAACCAGCACTAATGCAACAGAATTTCT